CTCTCCGCTACAGCATCACCATCCTCCACCACCCCCTTTCACCGTCCAGATGCCTGTTTGTGGGAGTGTTCAATTCAGAAGTGCAAATGTTGGCGACTGAAACGAAAATTGTTTCAGTTCTGTTTATTTTACAAAAAAATGCACAATAAGTGTTGTATATGAGTTGACCATACTTTTTTTACTATGACCGACTTCCACCTCTGAATCTTTGAGATCCACGGAATGATTGGCGGTGTGGTAGCCCATTTCCTCCTCTTCCTCTACTCCCTCGATTTCCCCTTGGAGCTCCACGGCCTCCTATAGGTTTAAATTTCTAAACATTTTCTTTGAGGCGCCTTTGCTGACCGTAAATTACTTGATGGTATAAGATGCTATTTAAGCAATGAAAACTTTTAATGAAGCAAATAAGCACGCTTAATGGTTGATATAAAATATGCTCCTTTAGTGTTACTTGAGAATCGGTTATGTACTTACCGCGTCCACGCCCACCTCTATCGCTACCGACGTTTCCGCTACCACGTCTGGATGGACCATTGTTTCCCCCCCTACGCGCACTCCCTATTACATGAAAAGTGGAAGTGTGAACTAAGCCAAGAAAAGTAGCAAATGTTATGCATTGACAAGAGCACAAAAGGTGATAAAAGAACGGAAAAAGTACGGTCAGAAAGTACTTCAATAAAATAATATGCAACTATTCCAAAGGATAATGCTCAAGGAACTATGCTGTAAGTCTAACCTTTAGGTGCGTTGAAGCTCATAATTCGTTCCATTGTGAGTAGCTTGAATTTGTTAATATACATCTAAAATCTGTATATTAAGGCATAGGGTACCTTTTGACCTTCTTTGAAAGATTCAGTGTTGAGATTATCAGATAATTTGACCGAAAATAACTATAGAGAGCTGAGCTCACAAAGGGCACATACGCTTTTCTTAATAGGTCCAAATATCTCCTCAACTTTCCCTATTTCTTGCTTGTTTTCCAGATATATAGGAGCGTTAAAAAAAGGCACTCCTTCATTCAGCAATTTGCATACAAGATCTCTTTGGCACGTATGAGACACCTCCCCAACTAATTCAATAGCTTCCAACGGTTCTTGTTCAAAACTCCGACTGCCTGTTCCTCGACCTCCTCTAAACCCGCCCCGACTTCCACGAGAACCACCGTAAAACCCGCGGCCCATGCCGTTCGTGATCAGTACGACCTAAATGACCTACTTCTGAATTCAAGCAATCAGTAAAACAAATTCGATATATATACAAAATTGTCCAAAAAAACGAAAAATTAGTCACAAACAAAAAACTAAGGTTTTTGATATGCCTTAATGCTTACAAATATATACAATAGCGTGTTAGCCACATAAGAATTGATAGTTTTATTTTTGTGCATGCGCTTTTATCCTACCCACTTAGGGAAATTAAGACCACTGTGCGCCAATATTGCTTAGCTGCGGTGAAAATCGGTCTTTTGTAAGACTCAAAAATTCGGTGGTAAAGTCTTATAACATTTAAACTCCGTTTGTTGTTTCAACTGTCCACATTCGAATAAATTGGCGTGTACTCAATTGAGTTGTGGGGTCTCACCATGTGTTGTACTTTTCACTTGTGTGACACTTTTCAATTGTCTAGACGTTTTTTCTGACGTAACAGTGAATGTATCCCTTTTTGGAAGCGAATATCTTTGCGGTATTTATCATCAATCCGAAAATTGTTGAACTTTGCGAGGTGGCTAAGTATTGTTCTCGGTTCCTAATGCTATGGCGCATTGTGGGGTTTCCCATATTGTTGAACGTTGTTTTTAAATTTTCTTTGTTGCTTTTGTTATTCAAGTTTGAATATTAGAAAGGGTGAATTGTCTAGCCATGGAGCTCCTGTTCGTGTTCACAACTCTTTTTCGGCTTTTTTACTTTTCGTTCATTGGCAGAACTGGTTGGATTGTTAGTTTAACTGAGACTAATGCCAACTTTTCGTGACCTTAATATTCAGGTTGATGTCTTGCATTACGTTGGGTTTCGTCGAGTCTGCATCTTCTTGTCGTCTGGTTTCTCATCTCTTTCCTGACAAGATCGGCGGTCGTCCTGCATGGTTGGCCCTTAGCCACCTCCCTGAGGATCTGGAATGTCCTCATTGTCATCATCACATGGTCTTTCTCCTCCAACTCTACTCTCCTATTGATGATCGGATGGATTGTTTTCATCGAATGCTTTTTGTGTTCATGTGTAAAAGCGGAAGTTGTTTTCTGCCACAGAATGGAGTTAAGCCCCGGCCCTTTCGGGTCTTTCGTTCCCAATTGCCAAAGGAAAATCCCTACTATAGGTAGCTTGTTTTGGTAGCAAATGGATTAAGTCTTTTACTTGCCCTTTTTCAAGCTCTGAACCACCATCAGAATCAGATGCGACAACAGAAGAATCTATGGTGGAACTTTTCCGATCTGGCAAAGCTCCTACGGCCGGTATTACAGTCAACTTATGTCCGATTTGTGGATGCTCGGGTACCAAATGCTGCAATAACTGCAATAAGGCCTATTATTGCTCGAAGGAACACCAGGTTGCCATGCTAGCTTGTTTTATTTTTCGAATAAATTATTATCTGTTGTTTATATTGCCACTACCAAGCATCGCTAGTTAAACAGTTTTTGTGCTTGTTTCTATGGTGACATTCACGATCGTAGATTATAACTTTGTATGGTTTCCTGTTCCAGCTAGGATGTTCTTTGCTTCTGTCATTTAGGTCATACATTGGAAGCAGAATCACAAATCGTATTGTCCCAATTACGATTACCTGACTGAGATGTTTCGGTCAAATCCCTTTCTCTTACCTGAATTTTCGTTGGTTTCGGAGCCACTAGATACGGACAATGAGGACACTACTGAGCTCCTCAACTTTGATGAGGAATCCGACTCCGAAGTTGTTGAAGACCCAGGTGTTTCAAGGTATTTGCCTGCGTCTCACACTGTAGTGTTCTGGCCCATGTATGATTCTCGTTAACCCACGAGACTTATATTCGCTTCTAAGTCTACAAGAGGCGATTCCGTAATCTAATAATCTTAGCAACTGTTGACGGTCGGGATCTAACATGAACAACGGCAAAGTTCCCCACCTTAGCATTTAAAAGCTTCGTATTTACTTCCTGGTATGTAGTTATCCTACCACGAATCCTGGAGCAATACTCATTTGTCTGAGCTCTTAGTTTGCCTGGGCGAACCTTTGAAAAGAATTCAAGTCTGATATCCTATATTGAACTACTTCATATTTAAATGTTACTTCACCTGTGTTTGTCTTCCGCTTATGTCTTGACATCTATTGCTAGCTATTACTCTAACCTTCCTTTGTGCCGTCCTCGGGTGTATCAGTGGGTAAAGACCGAATGCAATACATCGTATATGGTGGTTTCCTTTTGTCCAGTTCCGATAAGGAGGAATTCAAAGCACTTGAGGAGTTATCGCGTAAGGAGACGCGAGAAGACCGGCATTTTAACAGATTCAAGGAAATTCTACGAAGGGAACCTGATCAGGTAATTTATGGGTGTTCTTTTGTGAAGGTTTGCGACACTGCTTTTGCTGCTAACTAAATGCTTTCTTATCCTTTCTCCAGGTTGTTCGCTTCGATCGCGGCGGAGTGCCGCTTTTGGCAACTCCCACACCCATCATTCCACCACCGTGTGTAAGGTGTGGTGGAAAGAGGATTTTCGAATTTCAGGTTTGTTTTTATCCCTTCAACTCTCAACGAAGTAAACACAAGGGACCTCGCCGACCTTAGTTATTCAAAACATTGCTGTACCATTGCGAGCATAGTCGATAGGTCCAAGTAGTGCTTCTATTGTTGTCTGTGGTGACGCCACGGACTGCAGGAGAATTGTAGTGCTAGGTATTAGAGTCAACCGAGAGAAGGTTGAATGTTCATCCGGTCAAATACCTAGCTATGATTGCATCATTTTACTCGTCCATAACTCTTGGGAGCGTTGGTTTTCCTCAGGTACGCTCCATTAACTTTGGGATTTGTGTATAATTACTGAACTAGTTTCAATGGTCAACAGTCCCTCTATTGAAAGTTATATGGCGCTAGTGTATCCAGCTGCTGATAGCCTAGCTACAAGGTTTCGTTGCTGTTGGTGACGGATTCCATGTAGCGTTTTCAATAGTCGCAACGAAACCGACCTTCATACGTCCTGATTGCTAATTAGCAAGTCAATTACCTGATGATTTGTTTGCAGATTGAACTCCGAACTCGACTTTCGTAAAATTTTCTACTCTGGAGCATAGTATTGGAGCTACAACTGACTCGTTTTCTAGGATGACCACTAAGGCTAGGTGTCTATAGGCCAGCTATATGTTTAGGCTATTTGGGGAAGCAGTCAATGTTCCTGAGGACGAGCATCACTAAACGTACTGGGACGAACAGAATGGTGCGTAGCAGAAGCGCCAATGATTTCTGGTCTTCTCTGGACGACTCAGTTCTAATCTTGAGCAACGGCTGGTTAGCTTAAAAGAAAGACGTGTCAAGGTTCGGGCGATCGTGCAGCACACCTATCTCATGCAGCTACCATTCAGCCGTAGGTCTGGAGGTCGAAAAATCTGAGTCGGTATGCGTGTGAGCCCCTTGCCATCTCTTGCAGATAACACCCCAGCTCTTGACTTACTTGAAACTGGACAAGGTAAATGAGGCCTCGCCGGACTTTGCCAGCGTCTACATCTTTACCTGTGAGAACTCTTGTTCCCTAGCGTTCTCAGGTGCCCGAGACAGCACCAACACGGAGACCTACGTTGAGGAGTTTGTCACTTTTGATCCAGTTCCCTGAACCGTCTCGCCACCAAGGGACGATGCTTGTGGATACTTGGTTTTAATAACTTCAATTCTCCTGACATTCTGCTTCACTGTCCAAAACCTAAAGGCACTATTCAAATCAGCAATCTCTCTTGTTGATTGAGTCGGAATAATTGGTTCAAGTATGCAGTGATCCAAAGTTTGTACATACAATGTAGTTTTGAAGAGAACTAATTAGGACGTAAGTCCTATAGATAGTCAAACTAGTTATCTTGTCGCTCGCAGCCACTTAGGCCCTGGCAGAGGAATGGGGGTGCCTTATGGAAAGGTTTTCAGAATTAAAAGCAATAGGGCGACAAGTCAGTCTACAAACTGTACCATTCGTGAAAAACACAACGCTGACTGACCAGAAATGATAACGTGGGGTAGGGGCGTTGTTTCAGGAGCACAAGGGCATTCAAGTAGACTTACGGTAAGGTAGGGTGCAAACTGGGGTCGCAAGTTAATTGCATAATAAGAAGGGCGTTAAGCGTATGAGACGACAGAGGTGAGGAGGTCCTCACTCGTCATCATCGTCCGACTCGTCACTCCCTCCATCGCGGATTGTCCTAGTCGAACGCCTGAACGGCATTACTTTTCTCTTACATTTTGCAAAATCTGGCGGCTGACTAAGGTCGCCGTTGTAGTCCACAACACCTGCAACGCCCAACCGCCAGGCAAGCATTTCGGTGCTGAAGTTGTCATGACCTCCAAGGTCATCAAATCCAATCACCCGACCCACTACCTTCTCCTCCTTAATGAGGACTAATGTGGGCAGGACGCGAACCCCAAGACGAGACACAAGAAAGGGAGACTTCTCAACGTCCACTTTGATGAAGCGGCACTCAAGGTGGCGTGGAGCTAGCGCCGAAAGATGTTTATCAAAGATAGCGCAACGCACTGTAGTACTGCGGTAAAAGTGAGCGCAGACATTGGCAGACTGCTTGCAGATGGTAAAAAAGTCCTTTTCAGAGGCCAGCTCCGAGTAGATTCCATGGCCATTCGCGAGCCACTCCTCCTTCTTGTTGGCCTTCTCTTTCAATTCGGCCAAACGCCGCTGACGGATCTTCTCCAAGTCGTCTTCGTCCATGTTGTCTAACTTTGCAATCTCTTGATCAACTACGTCCTCAATGACCTGAGCAGCTCTACAGAGCTGGGATTCGATCACCTTCTTGGTTTGTGATTCACTAAGACTCATTTTAGTTAGGTGAACCTAGAGGCAACAAAAGGGATGCAGGAATGGTTGTAAATCTTTCAATAGAGGCAGCTAGGAGAAACAATATCTTGTAGAAAATCTGTATAAAAGGAGAGTCGTTTGTACTAACAGACTTTTGACAAAAGGCGAATGACATTCATAACTCAGCACCTACTAAAACATGTATGAAGGTCGTAACAATTTTGCGATGCTTTGCACAAAACTAACAAAATATGAGAAATGCCGAAAAATTCAAAGCGAATTCAGCACCAAAATTCAAACGGAATCCTAACACCCATCAAAACATTGTAATTATCGAACACAACGAACATTTATACGACCAGACAATAGAGAGCAGAACGCCTCAGTTATTACGCCACAAATGGTTAAAGCAGCCGCCATGTACGTGCAATGCGCATGAATATTCAGGTATCCATTGGTAGCATCAGTCAATAAGAGATCAATACAATTTTACAACACAATACGTCGTGGACGTTTTTTTCGCAGTAGCAATTTCGACACAGCTGAATGCCACAGTTGTTGCAGCCGAGTAAATAGATGTTTAAAGGTAAAAGTGCCAACCGAGCAGGATGTTTCATTTATTGGTTTTTAAGACGCATTTCCTGCCATAATGCGGTTTCAGAGATGCATTGTGTCCAGCTCTAAAGTCGCAGTACTTATTTCCATTTAAACAGAAGGGAACTCGTGCTGATGGCATTAATAGTGATGAGCCCAATCCTCGAAGATAGGATAAAAGCATTGTGTGGAGGACAGAATGATTACTGTCCCAATGCTTATTTTGTCAGTGTGATCCATTACATGGTACATCAAAGACTTGGACTATTTTTGCATGTTTGTTATGCTTGCTTATAATTAAAGCCTCTATTAAAAATCATACTCAAATTTATTCAAGTATTCGGCTTATCATTTTGCAAATAACTCCTCTGGAGGGCTCTATCTTGCCATTCGCATTAAGCTCAAGATCAGTAACCTTCGAAATCCTCATCAAGGCAGCTTTACTGATAAGAACGCGGTTAAGCAAACCTCAATAATTCTTCGATTGTCATCCATTTTATGTACAGATACTTCTCTTTAAAATGCCCTACAATCTAGGGTCTAATTTTCGGTGCGCAAGCCAAAAAAATCGGGGTACTGACACCACATCATTAAACAGGAACAATCATGATGGAAAATTAAAATACCGAGGAACCGAGTCCCTGTCAAAACTACCTCAATGGTTGGCGTATTTACAATTCGCTATCAATTAAGAGAGCCGTTCTCCTCTTGTCCCTGGCTGACCAACTTAAATGCGATAGTTGATCATTTTACCAAAATGTATCCCGAACGCAAACCCAGCCTAGACTAGCTACTGGGAGCGTATTACATTGACCTCGCCTCACTTTGACACGTTGAGTTGAGTGATAGAGCCATACACCATTATGGGCATTATCCACGACCGTGCACATATAAATTCTGGTTCGCAACCCCGATGTGCTAAATCATAGCAAACCTCAATTAACAGTGTCGGTAATATCGATCCGAGAGGAGGGTTTCCAACGCCTGGAACGATTAGTCTTATATGCTGTCTTTCAACCTTCAAGTGGTGATAAAATGCTATTGAAGCAGACAGAGGATAAGATTAACCAAAAAAAAGTTTGAAAGATTTATTGTAAGTGATGGAGGACGAAGGCAATGGAAACTCGTCTACTCTGTTCTCGTACTTAAGGTAAATGCGGCTAATTATGTAATAAAAATACTGACCAAATGGACACCTAGCATCACAACACAAGGCTTCAGTGCGGAAAAGCGACTTATTGATTGAATGCATCCTTGCTGATGACGGCAATGCATTCGCAGTTGGCTCGAATCTGCCCGCAGACGCAAGACTGCCAACTCCCTTCAGCGCCGAGTTTGCCCCCTCAAGCGACGTCCCCACCGATACTGCAGACCGGCGGACCTCTGCGATTGATGCGTAGGAAGAAGACCAATGCCACTCACCAACCCGCTAGCTGCCGATTCCTAATACACAACCCCCGAGAGCACCACCCAAGACAGTCGCCACGAGATAACCTCCCAACCAGCACACATGAATGAGACGCAGACAAGAACACGTAAAAATGTCTTTATTTACAAGCACACGAGCACCATGGACAAACCCAGCTAACAACGACAGGGAACCCACCACTAGGTGTACGTTGGCTTTAAGATCGTCTTGGCAGTGACAGAATCAGGAAATAGTTGATTGTAGGTTATCAGCGGGACGTAAGCCGCTGTGACCAAGCGGCCCGAGAAATAGCGCCCATGCAGCTTGTTAACGCATTGCGTCGCTATGGCAATGCTGGGACACTTAACATAGACATTGCCTTGGGCACTAGTTTGATCCACGAAGATATGTAAAACACCACCCAGAAGGGAACATTCACTAATGACATCGTCCTTGATTTCCTCGAAGGTTGTATGCGAGGCGACATGGGGGTCGAACATGTTTGACAACATGAAACACTGCGTACAGACAGGGGGAGCGACCGCAGAAGATGAACTAACTTTCCCAGCTATGCCCAGAGTCGGGTTACCTTGGAGCTGGGCTAGCGCCGCCTTAGGCATCTCCAGGCCGGTGCCTTCAGCGAGTTTGGCCATCAAGGCCAGTCGACCCGTAGTTCCCAGATCAACGCCGGTCCTGTCGGCCTCTTCATTGTCCAAAGCACTCAAATTGGCATAATCACTCCTCTCTGTAACATAATTTACCTAAACAGCCGTTACTAGCAAAACAAAAACCAACCTTCATGGCTCTACCAGCCAAATCAAAGCCGTTCAGCTGATCCAAAGCCTTTCTTGCATCGTCACCATTGCTGTATGTGACAAAACCGTAGCCCTGAGACCGATTCGTCTGCGGGTCTTTAATCAGCTTTATGTCATCAAGTTTGCCAAAAGGCTCAAAAATACCCCGCAACATCTCCTCCGTGATATTGAAATGGAGGGAGCCAACATACAGTTTCATTGGCCCCCTAGAGGACACCGGCCTACCGTAAGCTGCGGCCATAGCAGATCCACCCGCATTGGCTGCACGGTTCTTTTCGGCGTGGCTTTGTTGAATCTGAATAGGAACGCCTAGAAGTTTTGTACCAGTCAAGCCAAGAGCTAGCTGTGCAGACTCCACTTCGCGAAACTCCACGTAGGCGATACCTTTAGAGCGTTTTGTCTTGCCATCAATAATTAAACGCACGTCACGTATTTTTCCGACCGATGAAAAGAAATCCTCTAAATCCCTTTGTCGGATTCGAGCAGATAACTGCCAAACAAACACCGTTCTTGCATCTCTTTCTTCCGGAGATAGCTCAGGACTAAACAAGTAGTTTGAAAGCAAAGTCATACCTTCTAGGGCGTGGTTCTCCATTTCGATAGAAGCGCTTTGGACCCTTGTCGTCCGAGTCTTCGCGTTCTCGTTCAGGGGGAAATTCATCTCGACGAGAACGCTCGTAACGCGGACGATCGTAGTCCCGATCCCGCCGCCTGTCATAGTCCCGATTACGATCTCTATCCCGATCGCGTCTGTCACGGTCACGTTCGCGTCTCCGCTCAGATCTGAACTCATCCCGGTCACGCCTACGCTCTGAACTCCTATCACGGTGCCTAAACATACAAAGAGGGAATCAAGGAGAAATAAAAACGAAACCGACCTTCGGCCGCGATCCCTGGACCTGGATCTAGAGCGGTCACGATGACGCGAGCTGCCAGACTTATCGAGGGCGGAATTCTGTGGGGCGACATCAGAAGAGACAGGAGGCACGCACGCACGCACGTACGGGCACACAAACAGGACAGGAGGGCGGGAGAATCGAATAAAAAATTAGATGGCTGTACTAAATACATACTGGTAAGCAAAAACCAACTTATAACTACATGAAGAAAGGGAATTAGCCAGACGCCCGCAACGACGTCACCGCTGATGGGTACTTCCGAAAGTAATCTAATAAAACAAAAAGCGAAGTTCAGATCGATTAACCCACAAAGACACTGAGAAACAAAATGACACTGTAAGGATCTAGTTGCAGAATCTAGGCAGACTAATCAAGCGATCAACGATCCATAAGACATATGGAAACCCAGTGCAGAAACCGCCTCACACAACAAAAGTGCCGGCGTTTATCCCGATTCAGTTACGCTTACACAGCTACAGATAACGATACAAAATGCCAATTGTTTCCAACATGAATAGTTCTCGGCAAGTGAGCGACAGTTCAGTGCAAATATGAACGCAAAACGTCCAATCTTTGCGAATTAACGGCAGTCATTCATAAAGCCATTAACGTTGACGATGAAGTCCACGTACCCCTTTCTCGAAGGGAGCCTCTAGCATAGCCTCCACATCAATCTCATCGGCCATGATCTAGCGTTAGGGCTTTGAAAACAAAACTGAAACTAGGGCGCAGTCGGTTCAAACAACGAACGATACCCAACTGTATGAAATAGAAAAGTCAATATTAAAGCCTACAACCAAAAGTATTTGAAACAGTAAATATTAAATTTTGACATGCATAATTGCCATTTTTTGGTGAACTTATAGTATGTATTTATTAAGTTTGAGTGTTACTTAGATTTATTGCGTACTTGATTGCAAAAGAATAGTTGGCGCAGTAATGCTAGTTTTATAGCTTACACAACTCGGTGTTATGAATCAACTTATACTTATAACATTCTTCCACTAAATCTGTTTACATAATGACTGAAGATTCCCCGCGAAGTCTCTATCACTCTCCCGATTTTTGTAAACGATGGAAAAGTTTGAAGCCAAAAATTTTTTATATTGGATAGATGTCTCTTATATCAGAGGAAAGCGTGACACCCGCATCCATTGTTTCCCGACGTAGGTCGTAGTGCAAGGCGCAGAGTACCAATGGCACTCTCCATGTAGGTTCGTAGAGTTCGAGCTCTGCCTCTAAAACGAAAAGCGAAATCAGTGTCTTCTTTGAAGGAAGGGATGTCGACTGGCGCTGCCACCAGTGTAGGAACTGCCTGCCTACCCTCCTGCTCTTGAAACTCGGACTTCAAGGGAGGGTTAATTGCAGATGATTTATTTGGCATTTGTTGCAGGAAGAATGGGATTGGTACAGATAGGCCGAATAGGAGATATCAACTGGAGAGAGACTCCTCACCGTCCTCACGCACGTGATTTGTGTTCCCAAATTGGTTCCCGCCTCTATCCTGTCAAATTTCACTTAAACACTCTAGTATATATTACAATAGAAAATATAATTCCCCTCAAAATCAACGAATTTTTTGATGGTGCATGTGATACTTTTCTATGTGACCACATAACGCTTGGACATCACTTTAGGATTTGCCTGGCCCTTGTACACGTGGGCCGGCCTTCGGGCCATGTCCAGGCCCATTTTCCCCGTCTTCTTCAGAATGCATGCATCTAACTACACTTACTGACTTCTTATACTGGCTAGGAAGCCTCGGGAAGCTACAGTGGATGTAATACTTTATTTGTTTTTACCTCTGCGGTTCAGCATTGACTTTGATACTCGTTTATCCCTTCGGTCTTCGGGCCAGACCAAACTCTAATCCCTTCGTAGACTCTTTGATGGCATAGAAATCAAACTAGCTTATTGGCTCCTTCAACCCAGAGGGAAGTCTTGGGGTGTTACTTTAAGTGCAACGATCCGTGACTTTCCATTAAGTAGGAGACATACAGGGGCTAAATACTTGCACTGGGAGGGAGGGGGAGAATGAGTTTTGACCTACACCCCAACCAGCACACGCTGTCAAGGGCAAAGTGAATTACCATAGTGACCATAAAGTGTATTTAACCGCTACGATCAGTTCCTTTTCTTTTATTTCGAATTGTGTGGCATCTCAAGACTTCCCTTTAAGTAGAAGAAGACATTAAGCGTAAAAGATTCGCCTTTGACTTGGTCCGAAGGCTAGATCAAATGGATAACCAAAACAATACTTTCTTTCCTCTACTTTTGAACTATGTCATCGACGTATTAATCAGCTGCTATGGGACTGTACCTGGCTTTATCAGTAGCATCAACCAGATCTGAAGTTACGTCCGGTCAGAAAACACGAATCAGGACGTATGCTTCTGCTGTCCATCATTTGTGTCCAAGGGGAGAGATTGGGATCCAAAGGCCAGCCCACACGTACAGGGCTAGGAAATTCTTTAAACGCCGCCAAACGTTCGGTGGTCATATAAACAAAGCATTACATTTACCATCAACATTTATACGCAAGTTTGGTGAAAGGAAATTCCCAAGTGAAAGTTTTCAAGATGGTTCCCGATAGTGTCGCTTCAGTCAGGAAAAGCTTGCCAGCAGGACACGGGTATACGTTAGAGCCGATTGAAGAAGCCGTACTCAGTCCTTCTGTTGCGAAAAAGTCAGAGAACCTCCCTCTCGAAGTATAAGCGTTTCCTTCGCACCGGGAAAAATGTTAAAAGCGATAGACACCAAGATAGAAGCCATAGCAAGTCGGGTTCGCTCTCCGATGCCACCATTGCAGCGTTCTGAGAATTCCCGCTAAGTAGAAGGAGGCATCAAGTGGGGCTGAATGCAGAGGATCACATTCGGGCTTGCTCCTAAATGTCTTAATACAAGTTTTACTGAAATTATCAGATGTTTTTAAGCCGCCAGTCATATTTAAATGAGGATAAAATGTGAACTGTACTTCGGAAGCTACTCAATTTTTAAACATATCAGTAAATAGTATCTAAAATTATCATAAGCTGTCTTTAACGTCCCGAGGCTTCCAATGGGGTAGTAGAAGGCATAAGTGGAGTTGAATACATGTATTCCGAAAGCAATAGGTGAAATGGGACCTGAACGCGACCCGAAGGCCAGCCCACGTGTACAGAGCCCAGACAAGTCCTAAAGTGACCGCCAAACGTCAGATAGTCGCATAAACAAAGCATTACACTGTCCTCTTGTGAAGATCGTGCACTATTAAATACTCTGAGTTCCAAATGCATAAAAGTGGTGTTTTGTAGCACACATTTTTGTTGAATGCCTGCCTGAGACAACCTTGACACCAAACAAGATATCTGAACCTTGACATACCAATTGACTATGGTGAGTTGGGAACAATACAGACTTAAAGGGAATGGAGTGATGGGCTCTTGTCTGTATTGTAGGAGGGGACAAAGTGTCATACGCAGTACTGCAACCTATTTGAGGAGGCTGCGTAGTGCTTTGACTGCCGACTGCGCTTGCGGTCGCCGTGTTGCCTTGGTCAGGTAAGCTGGCCTTCGGGTCATGGCTAAAGCCTCCATCCCCTTCCCTTTTGCTAAATGCATGCATTAGTTTCAAGTGCTATGCGGGAAGCTAATAAGTCACTTCAGAATAATATTACCTTTGACCAATTCAATTGCGATTAACAGGACAACCTCGTATTCAGGTGCGAGTAGATTACTCACATCGAGTAAAGATGTGACCCTTCATGGACTGTATGAGCAAACTTTCGATGACCATCTTTTAAAACTTCTATCATTTACAATGATTAGGTTTGCTCTTAGTATGCTTTCTGTTTGTGCTTTAATCACAAGCACGTGAAGTTGTCACCTTGTTTTACACCGTTTGGATCCTTTTGGTGGCGTGGTACTAGAATAATTTTGGTGCTTATCACTTATTAATTATAGTGTAGTAAACACTGGAAATGTATGTCGAGATCGAGAGCTCATTAAAAAATGACAAAAATGAAGCTACTATCGCTAGTATAGTAGCAAGTAAAAAGTCAACATGAAAATCAGCATTTTATATGGCGGCACCTATTTTTACTAGACTGAATAAAGCCGAGTGAACTTTAACGGGCAAACTGCCGTTTAAGCGTTAACAAATTCGGACCCTTCTCGGACAACCATTGTCATCACGGCAAATAAAGCAAGCACATACGATTTGTTTTTTTATTGAAAGATTGAGCTTGTGCATCAGACGATGAACTTCAGCAACCAAGTGGTAGATTTGACCCTGTCTTTGAAATCGAGATTTTGTCTCTGTACGAGGTCTGTTAGTAATTTTTGCTATCAGGTCACTTGGAAAAATGTTCTTTGTAGCGCCTCGAAACCTTTAATCAAAAAAGACGACTGAACACTTGAGTAAACTACGTGTATGTACGCATAAGGAAGGAAATCTGGGCCTTGGGATAACCTAAATGTCACCCACTCAGCCGTATAGGAAACCTTTGTCAAGCAGATGAAGTAATACGCTATTTTTATCAATGGCTTACTGCTAATTGCCGTTATGAGCAAAACTGCTCACGCCTTGGAAATTCTTTCTCATTTAGTCCTTGAACTGGTAGCACTAGAGTTACCTATATCATTCTTTCTTCAATCCTTCATCCTTCTCCACCTTTATTCAGACGCTTACAGGCTATAGTGCTATGAAGTGATGAGAGGGTTGCTTGGTTCAGTAAAGACCGGTTCGGTAACTGCGACTGGTGGCAGCAGCCGACCTGTAACAATGATGGGAGACATATTTGATATGTAACAGATGCCTAAACAAGTCCCATTTCTCTGTACTGCAGTAAATGTGACAACACATCCTCATCTATGCTGACCAATATTGAAAGTACTTATATTTTTAAGGTAATCATCACACTGCTATTGGAGAAGGTTATCATAGCGGTGTTGTTCCAGCTTGAAGCACTGCGAATGAACAATAAATTGTCACCCAAAACGCCCATTTTGAGCACAATTACGAAAAGGAAGAATGAGGTAGCAATAAATTCTTCGAGAGTAACTCTCAGTTTCACTACCCCAAAGGGCTTCCTTCATAGTGCCAAGAAATGGTAGAAAGTGGGCAGAAATTAGTCTCTTTTTGGGACAACAGCCCTAGGTACTCCAGCACTTTCCACGCGGAAAGGGTCCACACGTAAAAAGACCTTTTAATCAGCTGACATTTCGGAAATAGAAAAAAACGGAGAGGGATTAGCTAATTGTGCAATTAGTGTGAACAAACCGGGGAGATATGATCGAAGGAAATGTGATAAAATCGGTCACAGTTCCACATTAAGGCATTGAGATTCAAAGAAAAGTGCAGCTAAACTCCATAGCAGGACGTACCAATCTCTACAACCGTATCATTGAAGGTCAAGAATGATGTTAAGTGGAAACACCTACTCTAAGTAAATTGCCCAGTACTTGCAATTCTGACAGTCCTCAGCGTAAAACCGTCAAAAATGTAAAGGGTAAAAAACGTAGTAAGCTGTACAAAATAGCACTAATATAAGTTCGTAAAATGCTGTCATTTTCCAAAATTTATGCCCTGCAGTTTTATTGGCCCTCTTCCACATGAAGGCAGCAGGACTTCGTCAACAATTTAGAGTAAAGAAAAGTAACTCCAGAAATCAAGACAAAAGCTGCAGCACGTAGGGAGCACAGTGGCACAGTAAATCTAAGCTCCGGTTAAGTCTCCATCACTAAACACTCTGAAAAACGTGATCACATTTGGAGGGTTTGTTCCTGCTAGATGCTGGAAGGTAAGAAAGGCAGAGGTATTTTGCCTCTCCCCCACAATGAAAGCGCTGCAAAAACCAAGTCTTAATTAGTTGGGGTCGGTGTGAGGGTCTCGCTTTCCATAACAAAAATACATCAATCCTTCAGGGCTAAGATTTGCATGAAAGTGTTGCAGATCATTGTTAACGTGCAATATAATGTCGTATTTCTTAACAAATAGATTTGTTTCATGTAAAAAAGGTGAACCGGTCGAGTTCAGACCCGATCTTTAATTATTTCCATCTTATCCTCCTCCTTCAGAACCTTGACCGTAAGTAAGCAATAAAGCAATCAATTTGACCGTGTCAGTTTAGTCGCCTCGCTTTGAAGGCGAAAGAAGACATATTGCTCCGAAAACGCATGTACAAGTGGCCGAAGTATTTGGTAAGCATCGTCTGATTTGTCTACAACCGACACCTCCTTCACTCCAACTGACTGAAAATGTCTACTTTCACCGGAAAGAATTTTGCAGACGTTAACAACCCCGGCCACCACAATCTCGGTTGGGCGCCTTTTCTCTTGCCAACAAAAATTATTAACTGGCTGTTGGGTCACCAACACTTGTACCTGTGCCCGATTTACATCCCACGTCCGTCTAAGATCACCTTTGAAGTCGTTTTTATTAAAAAGGTTTTCACGTATTTCCTTTTCGAGATAGTGCAACGCTTGTTTTGTACCTTAAAGGTTCTTGCATTGACTCCCTCCCTCATTCCACCTCGCCATATAGTTGAATGTGATCCTGTGAAACTTTTCCGCTTACAAACTATTCACAATCGAAGCAGGCTTCACAAGCCACCCCATTACATTGTTAAGGCGGATTCGGCAACTAAAATGAAATACTCTTTGTACAGTTACGACTAAAACAATATTAACCAATTCTGTAAAACAGCTGTTAGTGCAATTTCCGTTTGAACGCATCGTAAAGATAATTGCAATCCATGGTTTTGCAAAAAAAGCTATGAACATGTTAATGGATATTCATTTTTAAATGTACAACACATTTTATTTGGTTTCGATGACGTTCATGCTTGCGGACAGAATCACTGACATGCACAACAAACGGCAATAGTCAAACTCGTGTCTGGTCTCCACGGTTATCATTTATTCAACTTTAGGGATTAAAAGGGACGGAAATAAGTAATTAGACAATTTGTTCCGCCCATCGCCTTGATTTGGCATAGTTAGTCCACTACTATGCGGTAAGAGGGTGTTCACCTTTGCGTTCAACTGTGTGGGGCACTCCAATCCCACAAATTACACCTCCACTCAAAGGTTGGACCGGTAGCTTCCAGTCTTTTAAAACACTCGTGGTTTCGCGGTACTCTAGGGGGAGGTGTTTGAAAATGATTATCCTACTAGTGCTTTCGAGGAAAAGCCTCAGTGACCGAACACTTGTGTGGCGAGTGTGGTTGCTCTCAATCAAAGCAATGCAATCTCCGCCAAGTGGGCAATTTATATCCGCCGTCCGTTGCCACAGTCCAAATTCAATGCACTTTTTTAGGGACTTCGTTTTTTCCATCAAAATTAATCCCATTTAAACAGGTAGTGTATTTAACTGACTACAGACCTCTCAATTATTTGGCCATTTTTCGGCTGTTATCCGCAGACAACAAGTCATTTTAAAAAGTCCACAAAAATGCAGTCAAAGGCAGCTCCAGCAATGATTTAATTAATTTGTTTATGTTGAGATATAAGGACGATATAAATTTTACCTTAAAAACTAAGAAGTTGTTTTTAGAACGCTCTACACATTTAAAGCATGGCTGCAGTACCTTGCAGACGTATTCATCGTACTCCTCCCCCAAAGCGAATCCTTCCAAATTGGCATCCACTTGCTTATTTTCCTTAATTAGGGCGCCATTCAGCCCGTAAATGATTGAAACTTGCTATCACATGCTAAATGCGCTCAAAACACTTGTAGAAAGCCTTAGTAGGCGTCGTGTTGTCTGCTAAAATGGCATAAAGTAGATCGCGTAGTCCTAGTTTCCTCTTTCTTTGCAACGGGTGATGCCGCATAGCAGCCGTATTTTGGACAAGGTTTAGCCATACACTTACAACCAAGAAACAGTTTCTCGTAGTAATTTGAACATCCTCCCCATTCATTACTCACAGGTATTAAAAGAGCTATGTGAATAGCTTCAATTAATAATACGGAAATCAGCAAGAACAACAATAAAAAATCACTTCAAGTGAAATGACATTCAATGGGACAGGAAATAGCAAATCGGAAAAACAAAACAAGACTTGAAAATCACTCATTGACTCGAAGTTACGAGAGCAAAAATTCATTACCGTTCATGGGGCGAAAGCAACCCACTGTTTCCCAACCTCTCTCTGACACGGTAGTCGTTGGCATTCCGCTTTATAAATCTGTTAAACTTTCACTCCTTTAAATCGTGTTAGGAGATGCCAAAGTTCATCAATACGGCACATTATCATTGACTTTACCAAGTTTAGGGTTTAGGGAGATCTTGTATCACAAGTGTAGGTTGTTTGGGAGCGCCGGGTCCTTGCTGTCATCTTAACTTTTCCGAAGTGGCTTCATGTCAGCCCGTGCGGAGAACAGTCACAGCAGCAGTACAGTAAAAGTGGGAGTTCGGTCTGCTATCGTACAAAACACTTCCTTTTCTAACAAAAATTGCAAAGACCAAGCATAGGTTGTGGATTTATGAACCTGACGGTTTAAATAAAGGCACCTCCATACAGTATTGTGGTGGCGTCGTAAAATGGTTTCCCTGCTCATTGCAAACCTCTTTCTGCCGTGTCGATGATTTTAACCAAGCAGAACATTAATTGGAAACAGTGCTTCCTTTGGGCACGAAGAATTTTCAACCTCATGACTGAAACCACCCAACATACCCTACGCAACAAGTAGGCATTAGGCATGCAAAAGGGACAAAGTGCCACCAGAGAAGTTAGTTAGATGCACTTTATGATCAGAACTTTGAATAAGTATGATGCAGACGTCCGTGGACCTCCTTAAGTACCGTCAGGATCTTAAAATGCCTACTATTTCCAAGATACTCTTAGTTTCTGCTCAAGAGTAGTCAAAGAGCAGTCTTATTACTGCCATAGTCAAATATTTTGAAAAGCATCAAAATGTGCTCAGTTTTTTATGGCACAGTAAATGAATGCAGGCCTTAGCCTTGTGATCCAACAGTAGATTTGCTTACGTCTCAAACGAAGTTCAGTCTCTACTCAGCTGCTAGGCCAAAGGAAGAATAGGGATGGCGAGGCATCATTCAGACCGCCACTTGAATTGCAGAGCCAAATCATTCGGTTAGGTACACTTGAACTTAAAACCCTTCACTCTTTAAAGCAAACTATGCAGCGCCTGATCACTACGCAAACAACTTATCATGTTACTCAACAAAATATTTGAAAAGAGGTCTGCCTTGAGATAAAAGCCTGTTTTTGTTTCTGATGACTGACCAAAGTAAGATGCAGCTAGGATACTAAAGCCCTCTGATGTTTAATTTAAATTAGGTCTTTAATTTTTATGGCGATTAGAGCGATGCAATCGTAGAGGTGGTACACGAAGTAAACGGAGCAATCCCGTCCAGCTTCTATACCTAGATGAGGACACATGTATCGTGAGCCAATCCAATAGGCATTTAACAATTTGGCAGGCAGGGACTGTATTGCGTTCACACAATAGTTCGCCTTACTAAAAGGCATTACTTTTGTGCAAAAAAACTGAGTTTGAATGCAGACCTACAAAATGCACAAAAAATATATCACGTAACTGGAGAGGTGCTAAAAGTGCAGCATAAGGTATATGGACGAGATCGACCTCCGATAGGACCGCATAAAATTTAAACAGATCTAGCAAGTTATAAAGTAATTTCAAGTTAAGTACTAGCTAATCATTAAAATGCGTCGCTTGATTTCAATATCGTTTATCTTCCGGGTGTGGTGCACAGCGAACGGAAGCACGCACTTCAAATTCACTACTTTTACAAGCCAACGCCACAATAGCTTTCCTTGCCTACAAGTCATCCATCAATGGAATACAGTATACAATACGTTTGCTGTCGCCGTCGTCTTCTCATCACCATGCTGTGCCGCCATTTACGCATCTCCATTGCAGTGCACTCGGTACATCCGCACTGTGACGCTTGTGGTTTCAACAACACCTCCGACGCCACACATCACATCAACATCGACACACGCCCAAATGAATACGTCGCAATGGATGCGGTGGGGTGCTGCATCAGGGTGGGGTGAAGTGGGATGGGGAAAGCGAAGACCAGTGAGGAGGAGGAGGAGGAGGAGGAGGAGGCGAGGGGGAGGAGAGTTAGCAGTGAAGCCCATTTTCA